GTCAACAGCATATAAAGAAAATTTGTATAAGATGTTTTACAGGTGGCATTTCCCCCCGACAAGAATAGCAAGAATGTTCAAGAACAAATCCGAAAAATGTTGGAAATGTCATCAGACACCTGGCTCATATGTGGTGGACTTATGCGGACGCTAGAAAATACTGGACTAAAATCCACATGTGGTTGGAAAAAATGACAAAAAAACTTATAGACTTGAAACCAGAGATATTTTTATTGGGAATTTTACCTGATACATATAGCAAAGACTTGAAATACCTGATTGTGAATGTATTAACAGTGGCTAGGATTGTATTTGCTAAAAATTGGAAAAATGAGAAAATATCATCGCAGGAGGAAATCATTAAGAAAATATTGGAATGTGCTGAAATGAGTAGATTGACATTTGAAATTAGAGAACAAGAGGATAAACAATTTTACAAAATTTGGGACCTTTTCTATCAATGGTTAGATAATAAAATACAATAATGGAATATACAGAATTTTAGAAAATAATAAATATATAAAGATGTATATTCTTTTTCTTTTTTTCATTATATCTACAAAATGTTTTTAGGATAGATTTGGGAGGATTATATGAATTGCTATAAAATAAATTAAGTAAATTATAGTTATCTTGTAAAATATGAATGAATAAAATTATTGTCAAATGATTAATAATGATACTAGGGTATTCAATTTTTGATTGATAATATGAGCTATTATGTAAATGTAACTGTAATTGAAGACTATGAAATGGATGCACAAAAAAATTTGTAAACCAATCGGCACACTGCTTGTACGCTTATGGAAGAAAGTTTGATGTTTTTATGTTTTGTTCATTTATGTTTTGTCTTTAAAAAACCAAAAAAAATTACCAAAAAAAAAGGAAACAACACCTTTATAAGTGCTCTAATTTTTCTTAATTACTGAACATCAGAACATCATGCTTTCAATAAGATTTGATTCTAGGAGAGGGCATTTAGGATTGTAAAATAATGTTGCACTGCTTATATTGCTTATATTTGTTTCCTTCCAAGAGTTTACTTTGCAATCATGTTGTAGCAATTTTTCCTACAAAAATACCCTTGTATAAAATTGTAAGAAAAAGAAAACCTAGGGCAGTTCAGCAAGCATAAGCCTAGAATGGTTGCGACACATAATCCTACCAACTTCTAATAAGATAAGCTGCTTCTTTGGGTTTTTTTCTTCTGAGGATACTTGCAGATTTGAATGAGAATTTTTTTTTAAAAAAAGCAGTGGTTCTCAATCTTTTAAGTCTTTTTATCCAATCTTTCTCCATCCAATCCCACTACCAAAGAATATAAATTCCACCTAGAATCTCTTCCCAAGAATGGCAATTATATGTTTACAGGTAGTCTAAGATGATAATCATTAATAGTTAGAATTCCAGTCTTATTCTGTGATTTATCCCATCATTAAAGAACTACAGTCCAGACAAAAGAAAACCTATTTGCATGTACAAAATGCGGACAGCTACAGAATCATACTGGAATAAAAATATACACACATATACGCACAAAGTAGCAATTACATTCTTGAAAAGCAGAACATTTAGTATTAAAAATATTATGAAAATATTATGAAATTGCATAACACAAACAAATAGCCAGTTGGACTCCATGCCATTACTTGCCTGTTTTAAACATTTTCCAAATAAAGGAAAATAATTTTCTATGCTCCGCAGTCAAAAAAAGAAAATGAAAGGAATCCTGTAGCAATGCATTAGGAACAAGGAAACAAGTTCCTCTCTCTCTCTCTCTCTCTCTCTCTCTCTCTCTCTCTCTCTCTCTCTCTCTCTCTCTCTCTCTCTCTCTCTCTCTCTCTCTCTCTCTCTCTCTAATTCTCCAGACTTCCAGAGGCAAACCATATGGAAAACTGATTTTCTAGCTGAGTAATATCTTTCCCCTCCACATTGTCTTATATAAGACTAGCAAAGATGCTCTTACCTGCCCATTCTCCCATTGAACAAAAATAAGATGAAGGCAAAAAATTCCATATGTAAGGAAGAAAATATTTTAAAAACCAAATGCACTTTAGCAGGAAAATGGAACAACAGATGCCTCCAAGGAGAGCCAGAAGCGGCTGGAATTCATCCATGAGAAACTGATAAAAGAAGAGCTTGGACAAGTGCTGAAACAGTTCCTGCTTTCGTCCAGCCTACAACTACTTTGAAAGCTGGGCTGGCAGAAGAGAAATTAATATACCCAATCATAACTTCTGAAATAATTTGAATCTTGTTCCATGGAATAATACACTCAGAATAATAACAAAATGATGTCTTCGTCCTGATATGTAACAGTATAGAAGAAAAACAAACCAAAACATGAGTTTTAGAGCCAAGTTGATACTTTCCTTTTTTTTTTACAAAAATAACTCAATGTTTGGGCTTCTTGGGATGAGCTCATTCCTAACACATGGAAACTGTCATCATGTCATCATCATCTGATGATGATCTGGTCTCTCAATTTGTTACTGAGGGTCACTGTTACCTCCTTGTTTATAAATTCACTAACCCTATTTAAGATTTTAATATATCATTTTATTTTTAGTTAGTTAGTTTAGTTTGTCAAGCATGTATGAGAAAACAAGTATAAGTATGAACATAACACATGAACATATAAGTATAAATGGGTATAAGTATATACATAATAAATGAGTACAAATAAATGGCAACAGTAGGACAGGGATGATAGGCATGCGGTGCACTTTATGCCAGCTCCCTTACAGACCTCTTAGGAATGGAGTGAGGTCCATGGCAGACAGTTTAAGGTTAAAGTTTTGCGGGTTTGAGGATGTAACAACAGAGTCGGGTAGCGAGTCCCAGGTGTTGCCCACTCTATTGCTGAAGTCGTATTTTTTGCAATCAAGTTTGGAGTGGTTTACTTTGAGTTTGTATCTATTGTTTGCCCATGTGTTATTGTGGTTGAAGCTGAAGTTGACAGGTAGGGTGTTGTAGCAGACAATTTTGTGTACCAAGCTGAGGTCAGACCATAGGCAGCGTAGTTCTAAGTTGTCTAGGTCCAAAATTTCAAGCCTGGTGGCATAAGGTATTCTATTGCAAGATGAGGAGTGAGGAATTCATCATTGAATTTTCCGTTGTTTCTGGCAGCATCATTTAGTGGATTCACAGAGCAATCTTCAAGTATAAATCCCATTAAATACATTAGGTAGAATGGATAGGATTGCAATCTATGTGTCACCTTTCCTCCAAATGGCAAGGTAAGTAGCATTACTATTACTACTAATATTACTACAACTACCAGTGTGGATGACCAGCCAAAAGGACAGAGTTCAGAAGGAGCATAATATGAATTTGTTTGTGACTATTTCTGAATGTGTACAGAGAAGTACAGAGTGCTTGAGCATGGGTTGGGACTAGTCAGTGAGTTCTGGGGTCAATGACTCCTTCCTAATCAAATCTTGAACCCAATCAAGATCTTTTAAGGACCATGCAGATTTTCCAGAGCCACGGCGACTTCAAAAAATTAGCTCAGCTCTCAAACAGCATGGACCTAGAAATCCAAAGCCTTTTTCTTCACCAGCATGGAATAATTATGAGGAGTGCCCGGAGTGGAAAATGGGCATCAATTTTGATAAGAAAAATAATGTTCTGTTGCCTTGCCGAGCTTGACTTACTGGTAACTTGTTTTCAATTTATTAAAAATCATAACCCCATACACAATGTGGCAAATCTAATCATGGATTTTTTCCAAATGAAGAGTTTATAAGGCTCTTTCTGCAAAATTGGACAATTTCTAAATATGTGGATTTGATTTCCAACATTTCTCAGCAATAGTCAAGCTGACTGGAATGGAAGAGCACACATCCCGAAGTTGCCAAGATTGGAGAACATGGTGCTAGACTAGTGTTTCTTACATTTTTCTATCTCAGGACTCCTTCCCACTTTTTAAAATAATGGAGGATCCCGAGAAAGCTTTTGTTCATTTGAGCTATATTTATGAGTATTAAAAATTAAAATGGGTGCATTGGCTGCCACTACCACTTCTCACAATTGTTTTATGGGATTTTAATATTGTATTATTTTTCAACATAGGCTGGCAAATAATTTTGGATACCTGAAAGGATCTTGGGGACCTCCAGAGGTCATAGGACAACACTCCAGATGATGGAATTTAGCAAGAAAAGGTGAGTAGGCAGAATTTTTGGACCTGCAGGATGCTTGGAAATACAGCCCACCCAAAAGTCATCCACCCAACAAAACCCCACTAGGTGATAGTTGTAGTCTTTCAATATTTTTACTAATATCTTATGGTTAGTGGTAGTGTCCAAGTTGCATTCTTTTAAATAAATACAATTTGTTTTGCTTTTTCCAGTATTACTCTTTAATTGAACAATTTTAAAATATTGAATTCAGGTGGGACAGGAAGGCTGATAGAGAGCAAAGTTTCTTTGGGGTATATTTGTTTTGCCCTGAATGCTCCATTGCCTGCAACTAGTGTGTGTAAATACAGTTAAGTTCAGGTCACAAGCTATATTGTTGTTTGCTGCTGCTTATTAGTTTCTTTCAAGTAAGACTTTTATGCCATATTGCCTTGCTTCCTTCATGGAATTTAGCATATATAAGTATTTCCTGAATATAATTGCAGATGAATTTAAGATACAAATTAAAATCCAAATAGACCTTCAATAAATACATTTACAGAATAATATTTCTCAGGAACTTATTCTAGCAAATAGAGCTTTGAATAAAATTAAGTTAGCATATTTCTTCTAAAGCAGTGGTCCCCAATCTTTTTTGTGCCGCGGCCCGGTACCGGCATCACAAAATCATCCGCGGCCCGGTACCAGCATCAGCATGCATGGCAAGGTGAGCCGAGCAACCGGCCAGCCAGCCATCCCCCGTTTCTCCCCACCACCTTCAACTCCTTTGTACCTGTGTCGATGGGCTTCGGGACAGCTTCAGGACGGTCGCTCGGCTCGCCTTGCCATGCATGCTGAAAGAATCCTCGCGCCTTAGTTTTGTTCGAAGCCACCCCCCCCTCAATGAAACTAAGGCACGAGGATTCTTTCAGCACCCAAACGCCGCTTTCTACCCAGAAAAGCTCACCGGAAGCACTTTTTCATCAAAACAAGATGGCGGTGCCCAGCAAACCGGCAGCCCGGTAGAAATTGTTCCACGGACCGGTACCGGTCCGGGGACCGGTGGTTGGGGACCCCTGCTCTAAAGGATGACCTTCCTACATAGATTACATTGCAACAAAGCATCTAAAACAGGATTAACAAAGACTAGCATTCATAAATTCACTGTATTCTCTATTTAAACAATGTAAATTGTTTAAGCTATTGGTTCAGTCAGCATTTGTTATATTTGCACATTTTCCCACCACTTCGGTTTGGAATCTGTGCAAAGGTTGCCCTACCCTGGTTCTCATTGGCTCTATCAGAGGAAATACAATATTGTCATGGATCAAAGATGAAAATTATCAGATCCTGGGGACCACATACCCCCAAATCACTTTATTTTGATAAGGTTGATCTGAAGCTTCTGGATGACCTTCAAGGCAACCCCTTGTAAAGCATGTTGCAATAATACAATCCAATTACTGAACCAATCTTTTCCGCTGACTCAAGGTTTGGAAAAAAGCATTTTTGACAACTGTGAGGAAAAGCCTTACATTTTGTCTCATTCTCTGGTTTCAGTTTAAATTTTAGAATGTGATCAGAGATTCTGACTTGCATTTCATTCACTCAGTAACACTGAAGTTATCCCTTGCAACAAGTTCCCAAATTAAGTTTTCTTTCTTTATGTAATCTTCTATTTAGGCAAAGGCATTAAAAAAACATACAAAAGTTGTTGCTTATATGTGATAACAACATCCACTTGATGTATGGAAAAGAGGATGCTAATGGATCTGTTTATGATAGATTGGGTTTGGTAACCCTCTAGCCTTCAATTCTGTGCCTTTTACTCTAAGTATGGAAGGAGAAGGGACAATTTTTTAAGGGACAAGACTATCTATGACAGTGATGGTGAACCTTTTTGTTGTGGTGTACTGAAAGCATGCATGTGCTGGCACCCATAATGCAATGCGCCCTGCCCCTCCTGCACATGTCCGTGCAACACCCCCTCCCTGCCCCTTGTCTGCACTGCGCATGCACGCACCTCCCAGCTGATTTTCGGCCTGTTTGAGGCCGTTTTTGTCCTCAGAAGCCTCGGGTGGCTGGAAATGGGCCCATTTCAGCACTTCTGGTATTTTTTTGGCCTCCCGAGGCTGCAGAGGCTTCCCTCAAGCCTACGGGAGGGTGAAAATAGCCTCAAATGGGCTGAAAATCAGTTGGGAAGCATGAGCATGTGCAGTGCAGGTAAGTTTGGCTGGGGCTCGCATGCTCACACAAATGGCTCTGTGTGCCACCTGTGACACGCGTGCCATAGGTTCGCCATCACGGATCTATGAGGTCATAGAGGCCACACACTGAAGCACATTTAATTCAAGGGCAAAAAACCCTTGGACTTCTAGCTTTCATGTGAGAACACCCTTTCCTCCATAAACTTCTTTTAAAGTAGAGAGCATGAACTATCCTTTGTGGCTCAGTGGTTACTCTGCCCCAAAACTGGAGTTCAATCCTGACCAGCTCGAGGTTGACTCAACCTTCCATCCTTCTGAGGTTGGTAAAATGCAGACCCAGATTGTTGGGGGCAATATGATGACTCTGTAAACTGCTTAGAGAGGGCTGTAAAGCACTGTGAAGTGGCATGTAAGTCTAAGTGTTATTGCTATTGTCTGTGCTATCCTGGCAGGAAAATGTTATTGAGCCTGACATCTCTGGAGGGATTCGAACTGAGAAAGCTTTCTTTTGCAGCTGTGCAAGGTTTGATTTTAAAGAAAAAGAAAAATGGGTTTGGGAAGGACAAGGTCATGGAATTGAGAGAAAGGGAACAAATGATGATAACAGTGTTGCAACAATGTGACCTCTGTTCTGCCAATTTTCACTTGTATTGTGACTGTCTTGTTTCACCCTCTTTTGAATAAACAAGATGGTGAATAGAGGATGCCTATCCAAGGTCACCATGCACCATCACTGTATGGTTCTTCAGAAGA